AGGAGCTCATTAACCCTAATGAATCTCTAATTGGTGGAATTTGTGGAGGAGATATTTCTGAGCACCGGGGTTTTCCCCTATGTCTTCAAGGTGCTTGGCTATCCTTTTCTCCTCTGTAGATTATCAACTCTTCTGGTATCAGAGGTATGTGGTAGAATGCAGTCACATAATGCTTGCTAGTCTGCCCTGCATGCAACTGAACAGATGAACAAGTTGTGGAAAGGATCATTTGAGGAAGTGTGGGTTAGGATTGTGTGAAATGAATGTTTAAAAGCTAAGTAACAAATTTAGCAACGTTGAGGGTCTTCTGAAGGGTCAGGTAAAAATATATTTCATAGTCAATTTTAACTTGGGAAATGTATCAGCATTTTCCATAATGTGTTCACAGACCTTCACAAGATGTTTAATAGGTATTAGGTGAATAAAATGGCTTCATAGTCAAATACATAGTGAAAAAATATTTAAAGTGTCTTTACTAAAGAAATTCTCAGAGCCTTTAATATGTTAAAGTGGAAGTCAACCAAAAGGGAACCCGTTCTTCAGGTTTTCCTCATGCTTCTGACCATAAAAATAGTTTTTCCAGGTGAACCCATTGAAACTTGTGTTTTGTAAACCGCATCCTCAAGTATTGAGTTCTAGATAAGAAAGAGAATGGTTTTCCGTATTCACTGCTTTTCACACGGGCACTCCCCAACCCTGTCCACACCAGCCCAGTCCTCGTCCTGTTAGGTTCTGGGGCGTTCCAATATCAACACCCCTTTTTCCCAGATAAGATCTGGTCAATTTTGGAAAAAATAAATAAAATAGAACAGATGAAGACCAAATTCTCATGTGTATTGCCTATAAAGCTGGTATTGAAGAATGTGCTTTCTATCAAGAAGCAAAGAGGTTTCCTTATCTCAACCCCAGGGTCAGATTGAGTTCCATCCAGGTACAGGATATTGGGGCAGGCGTCCCCGAGGGGGCGGTGGTCACTGTGGAGGGTCAGAGCAGAGAGAGCCCTGTGTTCTCTGTGGTCCTCCAGTTCTCAGGGGAAGGGGAAAGGAAGGGGCAGAACCATGGCAGTCAAGCCCCCCCAGATCACCAACCCCTGGACTGAAGGAGAGGGAGGCCTGGGGTGAATGCTGCCAGGGCTTCCTCCTGAGGAGCGCGGGCGCTCTCTCCGCCTCCCACTACCGAGGCCCCTGCCCAAGCAAGGCTCCCCGAGGACCAAAGCAGGCATTTGAGCTGCTTTCTCATCCTGGGGATTTCTGTCCTTTCTACCTCCCTTTATCCCTAGTGCTCACTCTTCATCATTTCTCCTCTTCTTCAACCCAATTCACCCCTAGAAGGGGATCATGATGGTAGTCTAATGACTGTCTCTTTCTTATCTCCTTATATATTTTAAACATAATTCAGTCTTTTATCTGAAAAAGTGGAGTGCATATTTCTGTAAAACAGGGATCCAGAAATTCCAGCACGGCAGTGGTCTTTGTAAATAAAATTTTATTGGGACACAGCCTCACTCATTGGTTTATATGTTGTCTGTGGTTACTTTCAGCTGCTACAATAGTAGAGTCAAGAAGTTGCAACCGAGACGATGTGGCCCACAAAACCTAAAATGTTTACTATCTAGCCTGGTACAGGAAAAACGTCAACCCCTCATCTAAAATATAGATGAATTTCATTTCAGTTCTTTAAGTCCTGAAAGAGCTTCATTAGTATGAATATATAGAGCCTTTATCATTTACTCATTCTAAATAAAAACTATATTTTAAAACAAGAAAATTGCACATTGTAGTACAAGAGGGATTTTGCCTCTAACGAAATTGTTTCTTTCCTTATTAACTTCTGGAAAAGTGTCCAGGGGACACTGTTTGCTTTGAAGGACCCAAAGGAAAGACAGTGACTTGCCCTGGTTAGAAGTGTCTGCTATCACCAGTGGAAAGGGGTGAGACTAGATAATCTGTGGGGCCTACGGAAGAAAAAAAGGAATAAAGAGAAGTGTCTCGGGGCCGAGGCGGGTGGGCCAGCACGAGATCCTTTCTTCAGGGCTAGGAGCCCTGGGCTTTGCTCTTCACTCCCTGTTCCCTAACTCACAGGCTTCATTGCCCTGACCTCGGCCCCCATTCCTCAGAACCTTCCACGGAATCCCCAGAGATGTCAGTAGAGCCCAGTTCTACTCCCAAGACTGCCTTCCACCTGGGAGATGCGGGGCATGTCACTGAGTGCTCTGGCCCCTAGGGCTCTCTCACCTCTAACCTGGAGTTGGGGCAGGGCGGGGTGGGGGGACATGTTTTACTGCACCACAGTGAGATTTCAGTGTAATGGCAGTAAAAAGAGACTTTATGAAATGTAATGTGCTGTGAAAATGTCGGCTGTTTTTATTCTTTTTAAACAGCTGATTTGCAAATGAAATTTTGAATCTACCCAGCATGTAAATTATAGTTAACTGATGTTTGAAAACTGAAATACCTTATTTCACATTTGCCACATGCATCTTTATTGTTAAAGGTATGGATAACAGTGTGGTGATTGATGGGGGGTGGGGGTTATAAAGGAACTAATGGTAATGGAAAAAAATACAGTAAGGATTTTTTTAAAAAGTACCTAACTTTCATGTGAGTTATAAAAAAATGGATAAAATAACTGAATTTCTGCCATAACAGAATAATTTGTCAGTGGGAGGAAAAAGACTTCAAAAATTGTATTTCTTTGTGACTTGATTTTTCTGTTGTTTGTATAGTTTTAATTTTGTGCCTTTGTTTATAGAGAATAATCTTGCAGATGGCATTTTTCCCTGTAATCAGTTATTGTCCTATCTGAGTCATCGCCAGACATGGCATTTCAGTAAATAGTGATTCTGTAATCGCTTCCAGGCAGATGTGCTGTGTGATGTCGGACACACTGGCTGATCATCTTTCTGGTGATTCAGGCAGTGGGGAGAAATAGGGAACGTTTCACAAAGGTACACGCCATGACGTCAGAAAATGGCAAAGGAAGCACACTGAATGCTTTTAGTTAAAAATCATTTGCATGGCTATGGGATGGAGGAATAATCATTTTAAAAGGTAAAAAAAAAAAATCTATCTTGAGGGTTTTTTTTAACCTAAAAGGCAACAAGTCTTTCATTCTGGGTGCTATACATTTTCTAGAAGCAGCATGCGTGGGAGTTGTTAAACACACTTTGCCCCCGCTGTACAGAGACGTGCGTTACCGTGGCCATTCACGCAGCCGTGGTTCTCCGCCTGTTATCAAGCCAACTGAACGCACTGTTCATTGGTTTTTCAGCCTGTGATTATCTTTTCCCTCACTTTCAGAGAGAAGCGAATTTCTGAAAATAAGACTCTTGGTATGCAAATTAATGGTCTGTGTAAACCGTCATTCAAAAATCAATCACAATGGTCTAGTGATGTCCTAGGTCACAAAAGTAGGTCGATTTAATTTTTCACTTAAAATTATTAACTCTATTGTCTTACAGATATTACCCAAAAGTTCCTAATCCTTTTGTTTCAATTTTTTTTACTAATTAACTGCTTTTAAAATCTAATAAGTTATGCCACAATTATAAATCAGTACATCGTAGTGGTAGTTCATAAATTTGCCTTTTAAGTTTCACAGATACGTTGTAGAAGAAAGAGACTAATTGTATGCTCAAATACAGTTTTTATTACATACCATTTAGTATTATGTCAGTTTTATAGTGGACATTATGAAGAAAAATGCACTAATTCAGCTATTATTTATTAAACACCTTTTATGGGCTGGGTCCTGCCCAGCTATTCTAATGTTATGCATAGCTGAGAACAAAGCTTATAGGCTGGAATATGTATTGATGTGCTTGGATTTTAAACATTTTGGGGAGTTCCTTTAGCTTAAGGAAAATAACTCTCTTGAGTAAATTAACTACCAATTTAATTCTTGCTTCATGTTTTTAGAATTTAATATAATTTTATTTAATCCTTTAAAATTTTCACAAGGTTCTTCTTTGATTATAGCCTTTGGTAAACTCAACTTTTATATTTCATATGGAAGAGCTAACCTCAGCCTTTCTTACTTTCATACTTTATCTCCAATCAAGACTTGTGACCTTCCTCCCATTAACAAATACCTAACCTTTAGTGTCAGCCAAGTTATCATCTGTGAATTTTGTAATATAACCTGTTGTGGACATTCTTGAGTTGGCTTAACTTTGTGGGAAGAGCAGTTTACGAATTACTAAGTTGACTTCTCATTATGCTTTAAGAAATAGGCTAATTGTTTCTTTACTTACTATGCATTAATCACAGCTCATTAGTGATAATTAATAAATAAAAATAGGCCATTAATAATTAGATTATGCTTATACTTAACTATGTTTGTGTTTGTCCTGTCCTTGGAGAAAGCCTGGTCACCGGCTTCATTTAGTGACGTAACTCACTCAGGCACCAGCCTTAGGGATCAGAGTATAACTGAAGGCTAATTTATGAATTTGTTCACTATTATTTCCTACTGTAAAGACTGTTCTACATTTGGTTAATTACCACACTCAAACATATGTATTGATTTTGAGGCAAATACACAGGTATACAAAACTTTATAAAGAATAAACCTGATTAAAAGAACTAATTTCAAGGACAGTTATTCATAGCATAAATACTTTTAATTTGAAAACAATTTGCCTTATATTATTTAAGCTGTAAGTGTTCCTGGTTTATTTGAAATATGACTTGGTTTACAAAAGATGAACTCACTTCATTCTTCCAGTATAAACCTTTATAAAACAGGATACATTTCTGGTTGAGGCTGTATGTACGTATGTGTGTGTATGTGTGTGTATATATGTTTGTGGATGATTTCTGAGACCTCAATAAAACTACTATTCTTAAAAATTCACTTATTTACTTCGTTACAAAGGAAAGAATAGTTGATTCCATAATGTGAGACATATAATATCAAAATATATTTCAAAGAAATAGAAGACAATTTGGCCTCAATGATGTGGTAATGTTTCCTGTTTATTTTATTTTTCTGTATTTCAGGAGATACAGCAAATGAGCAAGGAACGGCAGCAAGCAGTAAAACTTCAGAAGTAGAAGGCGATCAACTGGTAAGTGAAACTCTATAGAGTCCTTTTGGGATGAAACTGAACAAGTCATGATGATTATATATTTCTCTGAGGATGAATAGTAACCTCCACTCTTGCTATGCAGACTGGTGTCTAGATAGCAAGGAACAGGTGATCTGCTCAAAGTCAGGGGCTGGCAATAGTACAGGGCATGGCTTTCCAAGTGCTAAGCTTTTCCTTGTGCTGGAAATGGAAACTTTCTGTTGGAAAAAGAGAAACAGAATGAACCTAAAAGGGAAGGTTTGAAAATAATCTACTCAGACTATATTACATTACCATGTCCAGCATCAAAATGCAGTCCTCGATATTGCTGAATAGAAAAACTAGGGTATGTGTTCTTTTCCACACAGAAAACCTGTTCGCTCTTGAAGGTACTTGAAAGTGTCTTTAGGGCACTTTCGTGTACTGTGTAGAAACTAACATTGCATAATTGATCAAATAATTTTCAAGACTTAGGGGGAATGTTCATTCTTGGGGGGGAGGGGATAGCCATAAATTCTGAAACTTTCTAATGGTGACAGACCTTTACTTCCATTCTGCTGCAGCACAGGAAGGTATTGGTATGTACAACTGGAGTGGGGTCAGGAACCCAGCTTCTTTGGTTCATCTCCATATCCCTAAAGCCTAGCAGAGTAGAGAGTCAAAAATTTGTTGAATGAATGAATACAATCATGAATTGCAAGTAGACAGTAATATGTATTTGAAAAAGACTTTAATTTTTAAATTCAGTTTTTCCATAATGAATGATTATTTTATAATCAAGAAAAAAACTTATTTTAAGTGATATAGGAAGTATACTGATGTAGAGGAAGAAAAGTATCATCTTTCCCATAGAGCTGCATTCATTTTTCATTGATGTGTGCTATACATATTTATTAAGCACTGATGGTATTCAAGGTGCTGTGTAAGGAACTGAGTCTATAATGGTGAAAAAATTCAAGGACAAAGAAATATGTCTAGACTATACATTAAAACAACTTGATCTCTTTCATTTATTCAGACATTTAGTGAGTGATGACTATTAGTAGCATCTTTGATGGGAAACAAAGGTTGATATATTTGAAGTTTGGCAAAGAGCCACCAGAATGAGTTAGAAACCATCCATGATTATTGAATTTAATTTCTTAGATATGGGATTCACTGGAAATGTCTGTGGTACTTGATTATTTTTCAAAGTTGATTCATTGATGGAAAGAATTATAAGATTAATAATTCTTAAGGAAAGAAGCTTTTGAGATTATGATCCTTCCATATTTCAAACTAGCTCATTATTATGCCATTTTATAGTCTATTATATACAACCAGTTCTTAATGAGTGGATTTATATATTCATGCTGTAACAGATATTTCAGAAGTGCCTTCTATTTGAATAGCAACTGGACATTTAGAGGGTAGTGTTTGTTATCAAGAGAGCGTACCTATGTAACAAAGAAGAAACAAGGAGACTGCAAATGAGACCACAGGGTTAAATCACAGTACAAGAAGATAATAAAAAATACTTTCGAGGCTATGTGAGTCGGGTGGCAGACTCTGACCTGCAGAGTATGCTCCGGGTCATTACTGATCAGGAAATACAATAAGTTGCCCCAGACACTTTTCTCTCAGTCTGCCAGGGAAAGGGGTGGCGCTTCCCTCTCGTGGAGAAGGCCCCAAGCCCCTGTGTCCAAAGGTTTTTATTGAAAGGGTTATCGATAGGGCTAGATATTAGGAATGTACAGGTAAACATCAATATGTTAATGTTTACAGAGAATAGATGATGTTTTGAAGGGAAAAAATGGTGGGAACACACTGATTTACATGGGTCCAAGAGGAGACGAGTAAACATGAGAGCATAAACATAAGAGCGCCAGAGGGTTCAGGGTCAGGGTCTGAGAATAATGTAAATTTTCTTCCCAGCATGAGCTGGTTATCATAGCTTTTGAGGGAAAAACAAAGCATGCTTCAAAACATTTACTTCTACTCCTGATTTCCCCCGGGAACCACCAATCCAGTTTAGGGCTGTCTCCAGTATTGTTTCAGACCTGAGCCAGGCAGGTGGAGCAGAGCCGCCAAGAGATAAGGAGACTTCTTTCAGACAGAATGAGGACCCCAGCCATATCATAGCTGAGGGGTGAGGGTCTTTTTGCCCTTTCTCCATGTCCCCCAAGTTCTTCCCTGATGCCCATGTGGCTGTGCCTGTCTTAGGTTGCCCCTTCCGTCAAGGGGTCTTACATGTCATTGACTAACCAGCTATCCTCCAGGGCCAAGCAGGGCGATGTGAGGGAGGCAGGGACTGCACCCCTGCCAGGGGGACAGGTTTTGTCTCCTCAGTGGCCTAATTTCCCAAAGCCTCTTGCTTAGCTCCAGCCTTGGGGACCTCTCGCCTGTTGGCAAGGCTACAGTCCCTGAAACCAGGTGGGACAGTTGCCAACATGTATGACTAGACACCGAAAAGACAAATAATCATTCAACTCAACCTTAAGTCTAAAATGGAATTCATTATTCTTCTCCTTTAAAAATCCCCCCCAAAAACATTGCTGCATGTTCTCCACCTACCCTCCACCCCATAGTCTCCCTTGATCAGTCAAGGTGAGATTTATCCAGCCTCATGGTTTAATATTCTGCATAGAAGCTGATGGTTCCCAAAGTGTATGTCCAGCTAGACCTACCCCGAGCCCTGCATTGCATCCCACTGCCCATGAACTGTTTCACTTACAGGCGTCTAGACAGTTCAGCCTTTCCTTGACTAAGGAAGAACTGTTGATTCTCGGCCCTTCCTCCCTGCACCTTCTCTCTGCTTAATGTGTTTCTCTCTCTCCATCGCATATCACCATCTTCTCTTAGTGGTTTAGAACAAAAACTCCTGAGGCGCCCCGTTCCCTCGCACTCCACATGCAGCCCAGCAGTAAGTCCTGGCACCCATCCCTCCAAGCCCAGAATCTGACCCCTTCTCAACATTTGGCACTGCTCGAACCTGAGTCGAAACTATCACTTTCTCCAGGACTCTCTGCTTTCATTTTTCCCCCTTAAGTCCGTCCTCCATATGGCAGACAGAAATATAAATCAGATCACATCGTTCTTTGACTTAAAATCTGCTGGCTAAGCCCCTGACAGTGGGCTTCAAGGAGTTTCATGTGCTCTGCGGTCTCATCTCTTCCTCCACACTTCAAATCCCCATCCCCATCCCGTCCCCATCCCCAGCTGCCTTTCTGTCCCTTTCATGTTAAGCTCATTCCCATCTTAGCTTCTGCATCTGCTCTCCCTTCTGTACCACAGCTTCACTTGGCCTCCCTCTTATTACCCAGATCCTAGTTCAGGTGTCACTTTCCATGACTGTCTTTTCTCCATCATATTTATCACCATCTCAGATTATTCACGTGTTTCCTGTCTGCCTCCCACGATGAGAACGACAACAGACCTTGCGTGCCTCAAATAGCATCTGCTACATAGAAGGTGCTCAATAAATACATGTTAGATGATAATCTAGATTTCATTTCATGTCATCATCTGTCTGCCAAATTCAAGGCCTGAAATTACCATTTCGGCTCATTCTTCCCACCCTCCTCATGAAATCTATCATCAAGTCCTACTGATGCTACCTCTGAAATACCTTCCAAATCTGGTTCCTCCTCCTCCAACTAGGTCCTCATCTGTTCACCAGACTGTTATTAAACAAGCAGTTTCTTTCCAAAATCTGTTTCTAAAAAAAGAATAGCATGTTTTGTTACTTCAGGCCCCCCAAATGTCTCAAAATCTGCAGAATAAAGCTTAAACCCAAAACCCTGTTCAAACGTCACCTCCTCTGTGAACTCTTTTCCCTGCTCCCTCAGCCAGAGATAACCACCAAGTCCTGTTCCCCTTGTGTTGTGTGGCAGGCGGAGAGCACACCTCAATTAGCTTTATAGCCTCAGCCACTGACAAACTGTCACAGGGGTGGTGTGACCCAGATGCTGTCCGTGATTTCTGGATGATGAGTGAATAAACAAGTGGTCCTCTGCAGATGCTGTTTTATGAGTAGATCTCTTCATTCAATTCTGTCTTTCACCTTGTATTATAAACACACAATTATTTTTCCTCTTTAAAAAAAAAATTCGTTCTTAGGAGTTACCCATTAAAAAATGTTACTTTACATTATTTTTAGCTCTCTGACGGCATTAGCAAGGAAAAGTATAATGATTTCAGTTAGTTTTTAAAAAGATATGCATCTGATTAAGAAATAATTCTTGTACCTAGTAGGATTCTCATTATTTTATTTTTTAATGGCTATATAAGAAATGTTGAAATATCACTTATAATGAGAAATATTTGGTAAATTAGTATGGATTCCATAGGATTAAAAATAACATTCTTAGTTGTCAAAATATAACTCGTTTTTCTGAGGACCCTTTGGAGGTGGCTTTTAGTATAACAGAATAAGGGTTGGGTTTTTTTTTTTTTTTTTTTTGAGAATTCATATAAATATGTAGGTTGCCTCCTATTTTCAGGGAATTGATGGACATGGGAGGGAGAGGATACAGAGATACATAAGGCTCTGTGACTCCCACTTACAGAAGCAGAAATTTTCAATCTATTCCTGGATAATTAGAAAACTCCACAAGTCACGATAATATAAAGTGGAATAAATAAGTTCATTAAACTCCATAACTACAAAAATAACTGAGATTTCAACAAAGAATTAATATTAGTGAGAATCAAGAAAGATTTCATGCATTATGCATTTTGAACCATGAAAAATTTTTCCTTACTATTTTTACATTACTAAGATAAATTTTTGTGAAATGAAGTTCTTCATAAGGACATTTTAGAAACACAGAAGCATATCATGGCATGAAACTTCCTTCTACAAGTGAATCTCAGTGACAGATGAAAAAGGGTTAAAAAATAAATGCAATATGTCTGTGTGACACTGTAGTTTTTTTTTAATGGCGGGTAAAGTCTTTTGTTAAGTAGTCTGCGACATTTTCCTTTACACTTTACAGCCCCAGTGTACTTCACAAGTGGGT